CTTTCTCCCTCCTTCCTTTTTTCCTGTTTCTTTCATTTCTTCCTTTCTTTTTCTCTTTCCTTCCATTTCTTCCTTTTTCTTTAAGAAGGGACTGGACTGTCTGAAAGATCTGCTTTTTCTTCCCCAGCTAGAGGACGATGGGAGTTGGAGTCACACAAGCTGGGAGGATGCACAGACCAGGAGGCATCTGGGAAGGCAGCGGCTGAGGCCGCCATTCTTTGCAGCCGCTGTCTTTCTGCAGCTGAGGCAGGATCGTTTAAACGTGAGTCTGTGTGGCAGCTACCAAAAAAGCCAATATAATCCTGGGTTGTATGAAGAGGCATTGCTTCAAAATCACGCAAAGTCTTAGGACCACCATATAAAGCCTTAGTAAGGCCACTTAGTAAGAGTACTGCATTCCAGACACTGAGACTTCAGAAAAAGTACAGAGAAGAGCAACCAGGAGGATGAGGGGATTGGAGGCTAAAACATACGAAAAACGGTTGCAGGAACTGGGCTTGTCTAGTCTAGGGAAGAGAAGGACCAGGGGAGACAGGAGAGCGGCCTTCCCAATATTTGAGGGGTTTCCACAAGAGAGGAGGAAGGGGGTCAAGCTATTCTCCAAGGCACCTGAAGGCCAGACGAGGAACAACGGATGGAAACTGATCAGGGAGAGATTCAACCTGGAAATAAGGAGAAACTTTCTGACAGTGAGAACAATGAACCAGTCTTTGGAAGTTGTGGGAGCTTCATCCCTGGAGGCTTTCATGAAGAGACTGGGCTACCATCGGTCAGAAATGGTGTAGGGTTTCCTGCTTGGGCAGGGGTTGGACTAGATGACCTACAAGGTCCCTTCCAGCTCTATTCGGAAGGGACCTCTATATCTCTGTCATCCCTTCTCCGAACCTTCTCTTTGTCTTTCCTTTTCTTCCCCAGCTAGAGGAGGAGGAGGGGAGTTGAGAGTCACACAAGCCCAGACTCACGAGACTAGTGTGAAGGCGGCGCTAGCCTCCATCTTTCCAGAGCTGGGGCAGGATTCGCTCCTTCTGCCTGGCACGTCCAATGTACCTGACAGTCCTGGCCCTCCCTTGCTAGTTGCTGCCCCCCCCCCCAGGCAACTTTGGGGATAAAAGGAGAGGAGAGCAGTGGAAATCTATGGGCCGGTCCTT